CCTCCTGGTCCATATCCAGTACCAACCCCACCTGGTCCAACTCCTCCTGGTCCATATCCAGTACCAACCCCACCTGGTCCAACTCCTCCTGGTCCATATCTAGTGCCAACTCCCCCTTGACCAGCACCTCCTGGTCCATATCCAGGGCCAACTCCACTTTGTCCAACACCTGAAGGTCCTCCAAGTGCTCCACTTAACATACCTACAAACAAACAGAAACATCACGTTTTTTTTATGTTAGGAAACAGTTCCTTAAATGTGCTGTGTTTTTTTATTTTATTTTTTACCATATTTGCGAGCTTTGGCACTGGCATCATATCCTAGAATAAGAAAAAAAGTATTATGGAGGGGTGCTTCCTAAATCAGTAAGTTAGATTTATTGCACCGTGTTCTGTTCATTGATAGTAAAAAAGTGAAAAATGAATAAGGAATAAACCAAAATATGAAATTATTGTTTAAGTGGCTAATAGCATTACAAAAGTAAAGTTATCTAAATTTTCCATAAAAGTATTTGCTGATTACCCCCCGGTCCAGTTCCGACTCCACCTGGTCCCACTCCTCCAGGTCCATATCCAGTACCAACACTCCCTGGTCCACCTCCACCTGGTCTGTATCCAGTGCCGACACCACCTGGTCCAACTCCACCTGGTCCATATCCAGTGCCAGCACCACCTGGCACAACTCCACCTGGTCCAACTCCGCCTGGTCCATATCCAGTGCCGACACCGCCTGGTCCAACTCCGCCTGGTCCATATCCAGTGCCGACACCGCCTGGTCCAACTCCGCCTGGTCCATATCCAGTGCCAGCACCACCTGGTCCAACTCCGCCTGGTCCATATCTAGTGCCGACACCGCCTGGTCCAACTCCACCTGGTCCATATCCAGTGCCAGCACCACCTGGTCCAAAACCAAGTCCTGAACCAGGTCCCAACCCTGTGCCTCGGCCAAGCCCTCCTAGTGCCCCCCCTCCTGTTGTTGAACCAACTCCAGTTGCACCAGGACCTACATTACCTGTAAATATTGAATACATTTTATGGAGTAAAAAAAAGATACATCTAAGGACCTAATGTTTTAGTTATTTGAAGGTATGCCTCACCATATTTGCGTGCTTTGGCTGAGCCAGGGCCATAACCTGTGTTGAGCACAAACATCAACTTACATTAATTAAAACAGATACTTTAAAATGAAATATACTTTTAAATAACATTTTATCGTCATTACTGATTAAATCAAACAGTTGGAAAATATCTTTAATCTTTAAACATTTCGACTTTTTCCCCTCAGAGAGCAGGAAAGAGTTATCTCCTTCAGATTTACCTAACCCAGGTATGTTACTGCCTACTCCTGTTCCAGCTCCTCCTCCAAATCCTGGTCCAACTCCTGTCCCTGCTCCAGTCCCAGCACCTGTCGCTACTCCAGGTCTAACTCCTGTTCCAGCTCCTCCACCAAATCCAGGTCCAACTCCTGTTCCCACTCCAGGTCCACCACTGGTCCCAAAGCCGTCCCCAACTCTAGGTCCGACTCCTGTTCCACTTGCTGTTCCAGGGATGACTCCTACTCCACCTCCAGGAAGTCTTCCAGTGCCTAAGGTGCTTCCCTGACCAAGAGAACCGCCTCCAGCTTCAGCAATAAAGAGACGTGTACAGAAAAAAAAAAAAAAAAAAACAGCACTATTGATTTCGCCCAATAGATGGAAATAACACCTTAAGTTATCCTCACTCAGTTATAGATTTCACAAGTAGTTTGCATTACCATATTTGGCTGCAGCTTTTCCAGGTTTCTTTGATTTTCCTGTCCCTAAATTTAAACAACACAGTTAAAATTGCCTGATTTCAATATGTATTTTGGATGTATAACAGTTTCTATGTAACAATCAGGTACAATTTACAGCCCTTACAGTAAGTTCCAGTGTACCTGATTTTGGTGATATTAGAGGGTAACCATGAAAAACTCCAGATAACTGTTGTCCACGTTGACCACCTAACACGATATTAAAGTTACACATGGTCGTGTAAAATAGTGGAAACAAAATGTGACTTTCTTTTCAAGACTAACAGGTATTCATTTTGAAATCAAAGTTATTTATGTGTTTTAAATGATAGTGTTCTGACTGTGAGATACTGACTGCCTGCTTGTCCTGTTCCACCTTGACCAAGTACCCCAGTCCCTGCAAAAAAAAAAAAGTTTAATTTGAGTTTTTGGACTTGTATGCTAAAATCAGCTTTCCCATCATTGATGAACATATAGAAGGTTTATATACCAGTTTGAGGCCCAATACCAGACCCTGTGGCTACTCCAGGGAGAACCCCACGGCCTCCGAAACCTTATCAAAGGACACAGAAAGACTAAGAAGTTTTCATCTATATAGGATATTATACATTACATACACTTTTACGTTTGTAACACACCTTGACCTGGTACAAATCCACCTTGATAAAGTCCAGGTACTCCGACTCCTGTGTAAATCATATGCTATTAATTGTATGTCAATAATAAAACCAGTCATTGTAGATGAAGATAATATGTTATAAAGACAGGCCCTTTTGCCAAACAGTGTTGGGACAGATTGGCTGAGATCATGTGAGGTTTACCTGGAACTTGTTTGGATGCTTTAGCACTTGTCTTTCCTCCAAGTCCTACACCAGTCTGAGGCAATACTGGAGCTGCAGAGAATATTTGTCAGGCAAAAAATAATTTATGTAGAACTTTTACACCTTTCTGATGAATTACTTCTTTGATTAAACATAAAGGTTCATGACAAAACAACTTTATAAAAAAAAAAAAAACCTTCAGAATTTTCAATGAAAATCAGACCTACAGCCTTGTCTTTTTAACTAAATAATTTTTCAAGGAAATGTAGAAGATTGCTATGGTGTTAAATGGACTCAGGAGTACAAGGTTTGGCCTAAAAAATATATAACTCTTAATTTGTGTCTAAATTTGTCATGTTATAACTATAACATTAACATAATGGATGGACATTTGATGGTTTAGACTAACTCAACTGGTATCAATAAATAATAATGATTTACCTTTTTGCACAGCCAAACAGGGTGTCTTGCATTTTTGTCATATCCAAAATGTACAAAGCTTTATAATGTATACCTAGAAACAACATTTTTGGCCCATTGCTCTTTCCAAAATAGATATCCCCCTTAGATTTAATGCAGGTTATCTGAAAGCATCAGTTTTCAAACCATAGATTTTAAATCAGATTTAGTTCTACACAATGGCAGGCCAATTTTAACACGTCCAGCTCCCTTGTATCTCTGACAGTATGTTAAAGGCCGTCATCCTGCTGGATGATGAACCGGGTGTTGGTTGGTTCCATCTACACTACCGTTCAAAAGTTTGGGGTCACATAGAACACAGCACAAACAGGCTACTGCGGGTACTATTTAATGATGATGCCAGTTGGGGACCTGTGAGGCGTCTGTTTCTAAAACTAGAGACTCTAATGTACTTATCTTCTTGCTCGGTTGTGCAACACGGCCTCCCACTTCTTTTTCTACTTTGGTTAGAGCCTGTTTGTGCTGTCCTCTGAAGGGAGTAGTACGCACCGTTGTAGGAAATCTTCAATTTCTTAGCAATTTCTCGCATGGAATAGCCTTCATTTCTAAGAACAAAAATAGACTGTCGAGTTTCAGATGAAAGTTCTCTTTTTCTGGCCATTTTGAGCGTTTAATTGAACCCACAAATGTGATGCTCTAGAAATTCAATCTGCTCAAAGGAAGGCCAGTTTTGTAGCTTCTGTAAAGAGATAAACTGTTTTCAGATGTGTGAACATGATTGACACAAGGGTTTTCTAATCATCAATTAGCCTTCTGAGCCAATGAGCAAACACATTGTACCATTAGAACACTGGAGAGATAGTTGCTGGAAATGGGCCTCTATACACCTATGTAGATATTGCACCAAAAAACAGACATTTGCAGCTAGAATAGTCATTTACCACATTAGCAATGTATAGAGTGTACTTCTTTAAAGTTAAGACTAGTTTAAAGTTATCTTCATTGAAAAGTACAGTGCTTTTCCTTCAAAAATAAGGACATTTCAATGTGACCCCAAACTTTTGAACGGTAGTGTAATATCAATCTGGCTAGATTTCTCTGTCCCTGTTAAACATGTGTTCATAGTGATGTGTGCCTAAACAGGTTTTCAGCAAACTCTCCAATTCGGGCATATTCTTTCTTATTTATTTCAGTTGATGGGTAGACCAAAAGATGTTCAAAGGTTTTTTAGAACCTAACACTTCTTTGAAATTTCATGAAGCAGATATCTGCTCCGTCTGTCTTAATGATGCTGTTTTGGTAATTGATTGGCCTGGAATTAAATGATGAGCATAAATACAAACACAGCAGAGTTTTTAAATATTTATGTAGAAACAAATAAAAAAAAAACATGAATTGGTTTCAAGTTAAAAATATTTACTCCTAATTGATGGCCTATTAAATAAAATTTGAATTAAATAGATATGCACAAAGTTTGAAGGGTGTGAGCATTTTAGCTAGAGACCATATGTATATACATTTACATATTGCTCAATTTATTAGAATCTATTTACCACCTCCGCCTGGAACTGCTCCACCGGCACCGGTTCCTGTTCCTCCAGTTCCAACTCCAGTTCCACCAGGAGCGATTCCTGCACCACCTGGACCAATCCCAGCCCCTGCAGTACCGCTCCCAGTTCCACCAGGTCCAAACCCCGTACTCCCAGGAACTTGCCCGGTTCCACCAGGTCCAAACCCAGTACCTCCAGGACCAAATCCTGTTCCCCCAGAACCTTGTCCGGTTCCACCAGGTCCAAACCCTGTACCTCCAGGACCAAATCCTGTTCCCCCAGGAACCTGCCCAGTTCCTCCAGGCCCAACACCTGTACCACCTCCAGGTCTAAACCCAGTTCCACCTGCTCCAACCCCTGTTCCAGCACCACCTATGGTAACAAAAACATACATCAATCACATTTTACTAACTACTGATGATTTAAAAAAAAGCTTAATAAAACACCAACCTGTTTTAGGAGGTTTGGGTCCATAACCACCACCATATCCCCCATAACCACCTAAAGAGATTATAGGACTTCTTAGACAGTTATTTATGACAATTAATGCTCATTAATTGTTTTAATAAGAAATGTCAAATGTTTGAGTCACATTATATCACATTATCATTTAAAGTGGATTTTCTGACTCCAACAGCCATGACAGATGTGTTTACAAGACACCCAACAGCTGTGACAATTAATTAACTCACCTCCAGGTCTGTAGCCTGTACCTGCTCCCTGACCTGCAACCACACCACTGCCTCCTCCGGGACCACCTGCACCAAGGCCTCCATACCCTGGTAAAGAGAAAGAGAAGAAGAAATCATCTATTCTTATTTTTTGTGGAAATGCTGTAAGCTACCATAAAACTGTGACATGTAGTCTCAATTGCATCTATTTCTGTATGATTCTCCTATTTTGGAATCCTGTTAATTTTTCTTAAACCTTGAAAAATCTATCATCATTTTGATTGTTTTGTTTCTTTTCTAGATTTATATGCTTCTGCTTTATTGTATTAATTTGCACAGATTTACCACAGAGTAGCTTTGTACTATCCAAGCAGTTCTCTGATTGTTTGATTGAGTTAACCAGAACATTTGAGCATTAAAGGGTACATATGCTTTTAAATCCTTGGATCATGTGTTCACCAAGACAAAAATGACAATCAAATAAATTGCCGAATTGTTTATGTAGTGTTGCTATTCAAAAAACAGTCCTTAAGGAGCTAGAATCATACTTACAGTGCAAAAAAAAATCAGAAGGCATGAGGATGGGCTATCAAAACAACAACCTAGAAAAAAGGAACTGACCCCTCAGACAGTGAAGTGGAAGGGCATCAACTGCTGCCATGATAAATAAATGCCATGTGGTTTGTTAAAATGATAAAGTGGCTGGTAATAGTGGTATGGATGTAGGAGATTCCCCTTCAAAGAGGTTCTGATACTATTGGGGGGGTTCAGTCAATTGCATCCAACAACCGAATATTTGAATTTATCCACTTTTGCTTCACATCCTTCAACTTGAACTACAAAAACAGTGCAAGAAACAAACATGGTGGATTCCGTGGAAATCCATGACCTTGTTTAGCAGAAAAATGGAAAATATTGTCAGGCAAAAGTTAACAAACCATAGTAGAAAATCGAGATCACTGAACTGACTTAAAAAAAGTAGACATTTGTAGAATCCAAGTACACAACATGTATTTAAGAGCTAAGTGGATTTTGCATGATCATGCTGTTAATTATATTACACTTTTATGCGGCTTTTTGTTAACTGCAAACACGACATACAAACATGTTTCGTATGCTTTTACTGACCTATTTTCTACCCACCAGCACAATGGGTGGAATTTAAAAAGGTTTGCCAAAACCAAGGCTTATCCCATATGAACTGTTTTCATAGTATCATTAAAAATTTTCCATCCAGGACAAGCAGCTCACATATACGTGGAATGAAAAACAAGAAGGCCTCCAATTTCAAAGCAAATCCCTGTGACTAACATAATGACTTCCATTCTTTATCGAGGGATTCCCATGCCTAACACATTTTACCCTTTATCACTATATGCATTTGTGGGTGTTGTCAGAACAAAAGCCTATAATGTTGATTTGGCAGGATATGAAATAATGCTATATTTACAAAGTCTTTATCCTTCATTTGTTTGTTGATTTGAAGGAAATGAACATTATTCTTTTACTAATATTACAGCAGAAAATGGAGATGGTTTAAACTTCTAAATAAGTTTGCTGATATGACTTTCACTATATTAGATAACTAGTCTACATATGGGTTCAAACTATTATTTAGCCTGTGCTTTTTTCCCTCTTATTATTTGTTGCAAGAAATTTCTTTAACATATTAACATACCATCTCTTCAAAAATATTCCTAAACCTTGACGTTTCTAACCATTTTTTTAATGTTACAGCCACAAACCAAGTTGGACCAATGTTTTTTTTTTATGCAAATTCATCTGATGGGTCACAAAGTAATGCAGAATTCTGAAGTTGAAAGGAACATATACAAAAATGTCCAACTTTTATTTCCAGTTCTTTCCAGATCTGCTCAGTCAAAACTCTATAGAAGCATTTTTTTTTCTTTGCTGCAGTTACAATTACAGCTCTACAGAATTGCGTAATAAATTGGTATTCACTCTATAAATGTACACGGATAAAGTACTGATTTCTCTTCACAAATTGGATAAAGCTAAGTCTGATTGAACGTAGACCATCTGGGAAATTTGCCACTAACTTCCATTTAGCTGTAGACAGCTGCAGCCTCAAACCTCCACCTGCTCTAAACCTTTTCCTTGACACATCTAGTTTGTTTATTGGTCTTTGTGAAGGTGTTTATTTCCCCAAATCCTAAGATATTCCCAGAAAAGCTAGATTTGTGTTGAAATTTATTTACCCGTAGAAGATAATCTGCAGTGATCTTAAAAAAAACTGCAGTAATTGAATGTGGAAAATGTCAAAAGTAAAGTGTCTGTATTTATCGCACCTTGTTGATCTATTATATGTATCTAACACACCTGTCCACCGCCTCAAACAGTCAGACTCCAAACTCAATTGTGTCTTGGACCAAAGATGTGTAGAAGGACACTAGGATGAAAATATAGACCTGCGCCAGTATGGGATGAGTGAATCTACAATAGGCAAGCAGGTTGGTATGAATAAAACAGTCAGAGCAACTGTAAGAAAATGGAAGACATCAATATCTGTTTCATGTGAGCCAAGTGGTAGATCTTATCCAGTGAGGTCAAAGTGATCATGAGAACAGTGCAAAAAAAAAAAAAAAACAGAACTACACAGAGGAATGACAATGAATGACCTGCAGAGAGCTGGGACCAAAGAAACAAAGGCTACCATCAGTAAAACACTATGCCTACAGGGAGTTAAACCCTGCCGTGCCAGGCATGAACCCCTGCTTAATCCAGTAAATGTCCAGACCCATCTAAAGTTTTGAACAGAACTCATGGATGATCCAGAAGAGGATTGGAAAATATCAATTAACTCTTTGAGCTTAAAGGAAGAAGAATGCTGAGTTATATCCCAAGAACTCCACCAGACTGGTGTTATCAGGCCTGTACACCCCTGGTCTATTTTGGTCAGACTGACACAGTAATTGGAGACAAAGTCATCAGTTTAATAGAAGGAGGGACACAGTGGTAAAGTGAAAAACAAGGCTTTTGAAGGGAAAAAAAGTAGAATCTCTGAATCCACCCAGGTTTGCCCTGCTTGCAAACACAGGGTGCATAAATAAATCCCAGGTCTTATAAAGCACATGCTTTAAATGTACTGGTCTATTACATTAACTTCCTCATAAACAACTTAAGGTTTATGATTGTAATGTGACAGGTCACTTAGAGCTAAGACGCATTTTTGTATAGATTTTTCAAAAGGTAATTTACCGTAATCAGTTGATTTTATATTAGATTTAAGGCATTCAACTAGGCATAAGACCATTTGAATGTTGTCATTCATTAAGTATTGGAAATACTTGTTTTAAAAACCAAAAGTTCATAAATAATCAGGTAAAGAAATTTATCTGTACCTTGGCCAGCTGTACCAGCTCCTACTTGGCCAAATCCACCTGGGCCAACTCCACCAGGACCAGTTCCAAAGCCTCCAGGGCCACCTCCACCTGGTCCAAAACCAGTGCCAACTCCTCCTGGTCTCAGTCCTCCTCCTGCACTTCCTTGTCCTGTTCCAAGCCCACCATAACCACCTCCTAAAGAAAAGTAGAATGCTGTATTTGTTTTTGGGTTTTTTTATGCTGATGCAGCAACCATTTTTAGTCCAGCCAACGCGTCCCACCTGTTTTAGGAGGTTTTCCACCTGGAATAAGGTGGGGGGGAAAAAAATGACAGTTTACAGATAAAAACACAGAAGAATATAAAATTGGTAGAAAAATGTGCAAAACTTTTCTTACCAGCCCCAGGAATTACCCCTAGTCCACCACTTCCTGGACCAAAAGTGCCTGGTCTAAAACCCCCGGTTCCAACTCCACCAGGTCCAGCTCCGCCTGGACCAAATCCTCCTGGGCCAACTCCACCCGGTCCAACTCCTCCTGGTCCAACTCCTCCTGGACCAAATCCTCCTGGGCCAACTCCACCTGGTCCAACTCCGCCTGGACCAAATCCTCCTGGGCCAACTCCACCTGGTCCAACTCCGCCTGGACCAAAACCTCCTGGGCCAACTCCACCTGGTCCAACCCCTCCTTGACCAACCCCTCCTGGGCCAACTCCACCCGGTCTGACACCTCCTTGACCAACTCCTCCTGGGCCAGCTCCACCTGGTCCTACTCCTCCTTGACCAACCCCTCCTGGGCCAGCTCCACCTGGTCCTACTCCTCCTTGACCAACTCCTCCTGGTCCTACTCCTCCTTGACCAAATCCTCCTTGGCCAACTCCGCCTGGTCCAAAACCAGTGCCCACTCCACCTGGTCTCAGTCCTCCTCCTACACCGACACCTCCTTGTCCTGTTCCAAGCCCACTGTAGCCACCTCCTACAGAAAGAGTAGGATGGTGTTTTTTTGTTGTTGTTTTAAAGCAGATTTAGAAACTACTTTTGGTCTAGCTAACCTATCCTACCTGTTTTAGGAGGTTTCACACCTGAAATAAGAAATAAAAGATGATAGTTTACAGTTTATAAAAACAGAAGAATATGGGAAAAATAGAAATGCATAAACAAGCTTAACAGAACCAGGTACTACTCCTACTTCACCA